GGTTTGCTTACACACCTTCTGTTCAGGCGTGTGTTTATGAACACACATAAATGAAGCTGTGAATGTGTGTGTGGGGGGGGATACAGTTGTTCTTATTGCTGTCTGGCTTAGCATTTACTCAGCCTGTGAGGTCAGGAGGAGGCCTCTGCTAATGGCATCCATCTAAGTGACAATAATTTGCATTTTTGTCGGAGAAAGGAGCAGAAGATGGGAAGATTTATCCCACAGACTGGATAAATGCTATTCTCAGGCTAACTTAACTGTGTGGCGTCTTTGGTGTTACAAAACCAATATTTTTCAAGATTCCAGGTTTGATATTGCTGTCAAATTTCCACCCAAATAATGATGCGGAAAGTCCTCTTTACAATCCTTCCTTTTCAAGTCAGGCTTTGTAGACTGTCACGGCTCTCCCTTTCTTCAAAACATTTCTAAGATGCTATTTACAAAAATTTCAGAGAAAACTCCTAAAAACAACACCAAAAAAATAAATATCTGCTGAAAGCAGAGGTCTCTGTCTTCCCCATAACACAAGGAGATAAGAATGGGATCAATCCGCTTTGGACAGTGTTCGTCACTCTGGTATTAGCATGTGAAAATTTCATGCAATCGCCAAAGTTTCACAGACAGGTGGTTTCACTAATCATTCATCTCCGACGATCCAGTCTGACTTGCTGTTAAGAGCAACCTGTTAATACTGTTGGGATATTTCCCTGCCTGATGCTGATTGACCAGATTTTAGCCAGATGGAAGAGACTCTGAGTGATTGATTTGATTTTTAGAGTTAGAGGAGTCTGTCTCTTTTGGGGACTGCAGGGAAGAATGCTATACCTGTTGCCACTTAGAGGCAGGTAAGGAATATTGCAACCGGTGAGTGATCTAGCCAGAGACAATAATTTGTCTCACTCGCCACTTCAGTAAGGTCCCTTACTGGAGTTTGTTCTTCTGTGCACCCTGCAGATATACGTTGTTTTGTTTTCAGCAATGTTTTGTCTAAAAATACTTAATTGCTTAGCAAGTTCAGCTGCAGGAAGGGTTGATTTTATTGGCTATATTTATGCGTGTTGAAATTAGATATCCTTAGTGTTTTTGCACAATGATAGCAAATGATATTTTGTAAACATTAGTAAGCAACAGCAGATTAAATGCAGGCAGGAAGCCCATAAAAAAGCAGGCAGCAAATTAAGGCGGGGGTGAAATAAGTTATAAACTCATTTAAAATAGATGTCTCAAAAATACTTTTTGAGAAGGAAACATCTTTTAAGAAAAGATAACATGGTAGGGAATGTATATGAAATTTGAGGCCAAATTCCTGAAAACTGGTGTGTCGACATCAGTGACAAAGCAATCTTCTCACAGCTCCTCTTTGCATCTGCTCTTCACGTAAGACTGTGGAGTGCACGGTCCAGTTTCAGAGCACATTGTGAACATCACAGCCATTCGCATCAGATACTAACTCACAGGGTGAGACGCTAGCCTCATCCTTAATTTCCACATCCCTTGTTACCTGTCTTGGCTACCCCAGTTATTCTCAGTCTGCAGCACAGCGCTGTCCTTGTGCAGTGCCCAGGGGAGGCACGTGCTCAGCGTGACCCTGAGCACGCTTTGCCTGAGATGGACAACTTTACTTTTTCAGGGTGTTACAACACTCCAGCAGTGCAGAGCCATGGGCTTCAAAGCAGTTTCCATGGTCTCCATTGAATATCATTTCCATTATCTGCATCGAATATCCAGCAGCCATTCTATTGTAAATCAAATGTTTTAATAACCATTAAGAAAAAAATATTGAAATAACATATTGAGATTATATTAAAAAGTAAAATAAATACCTTAAAAATGAATAAGATGACACCCTTATTTGAAATATATTTCCACATATAAGTATATGTAAGTAATGAGCAGTTTTAGAGATTACAACCCAAACGCAGGAATGGGGGAAAGTTCAGCTGTTCTATACATAGATTACTGTGAATTTTCTTTGTATTGTCTCAAAATGAGATAGGGCAGTGGGAGTGACGGAAGTGGGTGATAAACCTTCATTTTTGATTAGTGATGCGAACAAAGTTCAGAAAATTATAATTATAGAGAGAACTCGCATGTCTTAACAGTTCTGTCCTCATCAAACTATTTTTACTGCTTGTTTCCTCATGACGCCAGCCGCCAGGGTGGCTGAGCAATAATACTTTGTAAATAGTGGAATTTCTCATTATTAACGACTGTGTTAGAGCGACTTATGGCAGCTTTACACAAATACATCCTACTGACAAAGTTCAGTGTAAGCATTTGTTATTCACTGCAAAATATATTTAATAAACAAAAAATGCGGTAAATGGTGCGTATTATTTTGTTTGATAACATCCCATTAGATAAACTGTTTTAAAAGTTGTCGTCTGATGGGATACGATCAAAATGCGAGAGAACAAAATTATTTACCAGAGTCCAGATGTTAGTTTAGCCCTTGTTTGTATGCAAATCTGTAGCATTTACATGGCAAGACAGCACCAAAGAATTTTAAAACTTGGGTTATTAGTTGCAATTATGCGGTTGCAGATCTAGAACAAGTACAAAATCTCACATTAACAAGGAAATATGTAAAAGAGTTATCTTCAGCTTACATTTTGTTTCCAGGATGATGTTACTGAATCTGTCAGACAGAGTTAGGGATCTCTTTTCAAAACTGGAAGTGGTCTAAAGAGGATTTTGTTGAAGATGTCTCTGCTGTTGACATCATTGACTAGAAACATAAATCATGAATGGTACCATACATTGAGTTGCCATTAGTAGTTCTGGGCACAAACTAGACTGCTAACAATAGGTAAATCATAAAAAGATTTGTAGATTCTTTCTGACTCAGATAAGCATCCAAACCCATTTAGGGTGGATATTGGGATGGACTCATGAAGAGGCCAGTGTGTTCCAGCTGATGTGCAGGGGCCAGACTGTGGACTTGCAGGGCTGAAAGAGGTTTTTCAGGGTGTCTAAAAACCCCCAAAGTTTGACTGAAGCAGTTATTTTCACTGTTAAAGGTTCCAATGTGTTTGACCAAAGTATATCCTTGACATAGGGGTACTGAAAATACCCATCTTACACCGTGCTAATCTGGTTGTGGTTGGCTGCTGCAGAGGATAATCAGACCGACCTGGAAAAAAATGAATTGGAGTTATCCTGATTGACTGAGCATGTCTCAGAAAAGAAGAATCTAATCCCAGCTGGAAGCAGTGCTACTCAAAAACAGATTGGGGCAGGATATCTCCTTCAAAATTGTGCTTGTTATGCTTTTTCAGTTTTATTATTTTCTTTTCCAGTTGTGAAAGACGTTGCAAATCCTTCACTACCTCTATGTTTCCGAATCTGGTGACCTTTAACATTTTGCCAAGTTCTCCCTGTACTTATGTAAAAGTTGCAGTTTTTTGTTTAGATGTTAGTACTTGCTGGAGGCACATTTTAAATATCTTGTAATGGTCATAGCAACCCAAGATATGTGTAGCCGAAGAGTTTCTTTGTATAATAAAAATAACACTTTAAAAAATTTGATAAAAAAAAAAAAATCCAAAAAAAACCCAAAGCCAATTTTAATTCTTTCAAGAAGTTTCATAAATAATGTATCTGTATTTAAGTGCTGGTAAAATGCTTTTTTTGTTTGTTTGTTTTTCAAATGTTTAAATGCAAGCTATATTCAATTTTAATTTACATTGGAAGTTTTTTCCTTACAAATTTTTCACAAGACTTCCATTGTATTTGTGCTCACCTTTTGACCATGGAATACACAGAATTTCAGTAGGAAAAGCAATTTTGAAATTCATGAGCAAATTTGGTCTTTTTAACAGTTTCATTATACTGAAGTTACAGTTTGTAGAGACAGTTGCAGGAAAAATTTCTAGGTGCTTTGTTATATTTTTAATTTGGTTGATGGCATTTAGAGAAGAATTCATTACAGAAGGATAAGGATGTGACTCATTCAATTAGGATATAGGAAATTTTAGCTAATTTTCACATAATAATTTTATTACTTAAAAGTGATTGGACAATGTTTTAATTTAGTTGCTTAAAATTAGGAAAACCATCTCAGATCATTTATAGCCAGTCAAATTTTAAAATCATCAAATTCCCCTCATTTCCACTGGATTTGTAGAACATATTAATCAATTAGTATTGATGTTATTTAACTGTGTGATTTATTTACTGTATCCTCATAATGAAAATTTAATCTTGATCTCTTGTAAGATTGCATGTGTTCTTAATCAGTTTAATTAGTATGGACACTGTCACCAATAAACCAACTCTAAAGTGGCTGATTCCTTTATCTGCATGTTTTCTGAATGTATTCTGAATAGTAGCCCAAGTCATACTATTTTACAATAGTAGGTCTAAAATACAGTGAATTATAAAGCTTGCAGAATATATCCAACTCACTGATTAACTTCTAAAGAGTCAGTACATCACCTGGGCACTGCATGACCCAACATAGCCCCTAAATGCAGCTCAGTGAAGTAACTAAGAATATCGGTATATCTAAATATGCATCCACACTCCTGTTCTCCCAGCTCTGACTTGGTCTAAGTGGAGTTTTTCCTGATTTGCCTCCGTCCGACACGAGGCTTCATAGTTATGTGACACGAAGACATTATTTGCATTGGTATGAAAATAAATATTAGGCTAAGTAAATGTATAAAAATTAGTCTCTTAGACGCACAGCTTGCAGGGTACTGAGCTCCTTAGGCTGTCTTCGCATCCCATATTGGGCACGTTGTCTTCTGCAGCATCAGATTCAAAAAGCTTCACTGTAGGACACTGCACACTTGAGTAACCCGCGGACTCGTGGGGTGTTTTTTCCAAGCGATATGAAAGCAGAGTATGTATACATGGTCTATTCAAGCAGCTCACATGATATGTGTATTTTAAGCTATTGTTTTGCTATATACCTGCCCACAGAAGTAAATTACAACTATTTTTTTTTCTATACAGTGCTCCTAAATATAATTATCTCTCTTCATTTTTTATAGGGGAAATGGAGTTTAGAACTGACTCTCGATACTTGATGCACATTTAGCAGGAGGCCAAGGTGAATCAGCATAAACATCCGGAAGAATATGCCAAATACAAGAAAATGACAGCAACTTAACATGATTTAATACCAATAAAGTGGCTAAGGCTAGTGGAAACAATCCTTGATCTTTTCTTCTTCTAATAAATTAAAAACGATTTTATCATACATTACAGCTTCTGTAGCTCCTTCAACCTAGGGCTATCTATCACAGCCTGGATGAAAACTGCTTTTTCTCCATATCATGGCAGCCAAACTGTTGAGAAAAATCTCATGGCAAATGACAGGGTGTAATAAAGATCTACACACTCAGTTCAAGAACTCATTCCTGCCATTTTCTACAATTTCCTTTGTGTTCTTTTGTTGAAGCAACGGGTACGAGGTACCAGTGGTCTAACATGCACTGTGATGCCACCATCCTACCAATCCACACCTCCAAAGATGTTCTGGGTCCCGGGATGCAAATCTTGACCTTCAGCCATGACTAGCAGAATTGGTGGTGCCGAGCAATGCAAATTGTCTTCCTACACCACCTATGGAGAGACCCCTGCGGTACCCTGCCTCTTCCCTCCTCTCATCACATTTGGGTGTTTCATGTTAAGGAGTCATGACAGCTGAGCTTTGACCTCATGTCTGACATACATTTCATTGCCTGAGACCTTCCCTCTTCCACTGTTCAACCGTCTTGGACGCTCCTTTTCCAGCTCAGCAAATCTCAGTTTTATTATGCAGAATACAGATGCTGTGGACTGAGGAGGTTTCCCACACTGGGGTATCGGGTGGTTAAGCCACATCCTGAGAGGATGCAGAAAGGGATAAAGCTCAGCAGTGAAGGTGAAGGTGCGACATAAGTGTGTATTTCCTATACTCCCGTGGAGTGACCGAAGAAAACATAGTGAAGAACAGGTGGGAGGTACCTCTGACCCCACCACTGGTTTTTGTCATTTCCAGTCCAGTACATGTTCTCCTGATGATCTTATGTGATGGGCAAAGGTGGGAAAGCCCAAGAGGCTGCAGATCATAGAATGGTTTGAAAGGGACATAGTCCAACCCCGCTGTGCAATGAGCAGGGACATCTTCAACTAGACCAGGTTGATCAGAACCCTGTCCAACCTGACCTTGAATGCTTCCAGAGACAAGGCATCTACCACCTCTCTGGGCAACTTGTTCCAGTGTCTCACCACCCTCATCATAAACAGAAATATATTCTTCCTTATGCCTAGTCCAAATCTACCTTCTTTTACTCTAAGACAATCACCCCATGTCCTATTGTTACACGTCCTACTGAAAAGTCTGTCCCCATCTTTCTTATAATCCCCCTTTAACTATTAAATGATGTGAAGGAAACCCTTGGCTGTGCTGCAATAGACTCTGTTGAGAACAAGCATGGTGAGTACCTACAGGGTTTGATGAGAGGTGTCAAATTTTAAACTGTTGTCCTGCTTATGTATTTTAAAAGACATCTTACTTAATGCATTTCTCAGTTACCTCTGAAGTAATGACGTCGGTCCTGCTATAAAATCAACACTGAAGAACATTGGACTATATTGTAGCTTCAAATGAAGAATAAAATCTAAAGAATTGTTTACATTGAATTAACAAAGTGACCCCCTAAAGATACTTAATCTTCCATTTAGCTCATCCGATGTTTAAAGTAAGGTGGCAGGCATTTATGTTCACACATCTGCTGCTTAATTTTATCACCATTATCATCATCATCATCATTGTCTCACAAGAACATAATTACTCTTTATGTGATGTGCAAATTTAAATACAATCTGTAGTGGCATTTTAACAACTGCTGCAAAGTAAATGCTTATTTTCCATAGCCTGATGTAAATTATGTTAGCAAGTAAGCACACACCGTGTAAGGATGGGAACTGTTATTTTACAGGAGGCAGGTGTTAGAAAATGTAAAACCAAAGAAAATTGTTGTCAGTTTGCCATAGAATTAAACTCAAAACCTATCAGGCCTTAGCTGGTTTTATATTCAGTTATGAGCAAGGAGGTCAGGCTGGACTCACTGACATTTGCAGAAACCCAGCCTCATTGATTTCTTGTTTCAGATGAAAATCACACAAAGCTTGTGACACCTGGCACCAAGATAAGCTTAAAAGTTTCGGCTCAATTCTGTTTTCAAGTTTTTTCACTGAAAGAGTGAAAATTTAAAGAATAAAAACAGAGCGTCAGAAACCTGAATAAATCAAGAACAGTTCTGCAGATCTGTTCTTCCAAAAAACAAGTCTGCTGCAAGGGGGGCTGGTGAGTACGTGGAGCAATGCGGCGTACGAAACGAGAGAAGCATTTCAGATGCACCTTCCACAGGCAGGTGTTTGCAGCCACAGTTTAATGAAACTAACCACCAGTAACGTGAATGGTAACATGTTTAACTACGACTTCCCACTATTCAGAGGCTTTATTTTTATAAAAAGCCCCATAATGTGTAAAACGATGATGTTAATTGTAGGTTGCCAGCACCTCACACGGTTTGCAGCAGCGCAGCCTTTCCATGCTCCTGTGCTATGGGGAACCAGGGACAGCGTGTTTTGTAGTGGGACAATCTATAAAGAAATACAAACTGAGCCATCTAACCATCCAACTGACCAAGCCATCTAGCTGAGACTGACTGGCTGATACCAGGACAAACCCTGCACCATCTCCCTGTTCTCTTCACTGGAGCTGTGTAAAGCTACTGAAAGTGTTATCCAGTTTTGGGGCCGTGCATTTAATTTTCTTTATCTGCTAAGGCAAAATAGCACCAGATGCTTAGGATGGGAGAAACCTTCAGCTGTGTAAGGTGGGAAGGAAGAACATTTTCCACTAAAATCCTGCTAGTAGGGAAGTGGAACTCTTTGCTTCCATATCTTAATGGGAAGTTAGAAAAAGAAAATTATAGGAGGACTATCAATGTGGTGTGAAATGATGGAAGATCAAGAGAGAACAGGCCCTGATTTCACTGTCACTATCTGGAATAGAGGAACGTTCCTCTTGCCCATTTTTCCTGTGGGATTATGGGATTGATGGGTGTGATGCACAATGCTGGGCAGCCAGGAAAGACCAGCCCTGTGTTAGGAAGTCAGAACAGTCTTCGTGCGCTTCCCAGAAGAACCTAGCTTTAACTGGACTTGAAGGGAACTTCAGTTATCCCCTTGAACCTCCAGTGGGCAGTACCACATAAGTCATTAAGAAGGTTCCACTAATACTGAGGCATCCCTGCTCCATGGAGCAGCCTCCAGAGAAAAAACATGCCCTGCAGGCTATGCGGTGTGCTGCCTGCACTCCTGTTCACTGGGTGCCTACTGATGAAGAGGTGCTAAGAAAACCCAAATCGATGTACTTGCTCTGCACTGAAACTTGCAATGATGTTCCACCATCGCTGTGGAAGAGGCTATTCGTTCTGCAAAAGCTACTATATCGTTTCAAGGAGACATTTCCCACTGATGAAATATATTTGAATTAAATTAATTTCTGAATAAGAAATCAACTGGAGAATTTAATGGATGGCACCAAGGTAAAAGTTTGGCATTCTGAATTCTCTTCTCTTTCCTTTTTTTTTTTTTAAAAAAAAAGTGAATGAAAACATAGTTCTTGTGTACCTTTTTGTTAAGTGTCTATATAAATGACTAACTGAAAATGTTAACGTGATTATCATGACCATCAGGAAAAGTTTTCCACATCTAAAATCCAGTAATTTTTTCTTTGGTTCTCTTTAATATCTGAAGTGGAAAGTGAGTGCAGAAAGAGAACACTTTACTCGTGGATCATTTTCTTTGTCTTCTGTGTAGAGAAGCTGTTTACTTTAAGCCAATTATCTTGTAATAAAGAGTTAATGCTAAATTTGCTTGCAAAGGTATCTTAGCTACATTCCATAAAAGCACTTAAGACAGGTTACTGAACAGCGGGAAATACATCTACAGTTTTTAATGTTTTGAAAACAAAATATATTAACAACAAAAAGAAAACTTGGTCTTTATCTTCATCATGGAATATTCTGAAGGCAATAAATGTTGATAAACTGTACAGTGAGATGAGCAATTTGCACTGCTTTGGGAGCAGGGATAGTTCTGCTTTTGGGAAACATGTGGAATAAAAAAAAAAAATCCTTGAGAAGAGTCACCACCAGAACGTAAAATAAGTAAAGACCTGACTGTCTATTTATTTCTAATTTTTCATCAAGGTTTCATCAATCATCCCAGCTTTTGAGCAAGTCCAGTAAGGCACATTCAGCACGTGCACTGTTTCTAGTGCACACAAGTTTGCAAAGTGTGTGTTTCATCATGCTGGAGTACAATCTTGAATCCTGAAGTTAGAGCTGCTCGGGGAGAACCTGAAGACTGCTCAGAGGTTGCTGATTTAAGTGCACCTTCAGGGCTCTGCATCAACCTGTGCATTAACCCATGCAGGTCTGAGCACTCGACTGGCTTCTTCAAGTAGGAGCAAATCCGCTGGGTTAAGCTGAATGGAAGATGAAAAAAATTCAAATACCCTCCAGATGCATGTACAAACACTGCACCAAAATATTTATTTGCTTGTTTGTTTACTGACTTATTTATTTTAAGTGAGATTAACAGTAATTTCTCTTGGACTCTTTCATTATTTACCTGTTGCACCATGGAAATTTACCTGGAAATGCAGGTTTTCTATTGAATTCCTATTTATTTATTTTCTTGCTTGCTTTCTTTCAGCACCATGGGCCCTAATGGGCAAATAAGTTAATTACATTGTTTCATTCTAATTATATGCAAACTTTAGGAACAGGCTGAATTACAGCCAGTCATCATTTTGAAATGGAAATCAACTGGGAAACTCTGTGATCAGTACCTAAAGCACGACTTTCTTACCTTTGTAATATTTATAAATTATATAAAAATGAAAGGTTTGTGTCTATGAAATGTGTTTATGTATAGTTCATTCTTTAAAGGTAGAGAACTATCTATCTTCATCTTATCTATGAAATTACTGTTTTTCCAAAGCTTCTTGCTTTATCCTCTGTTTCTTATGCACGGCAATAACATCATAGTTTTATATTAAACAAAAGGTGAAATTAAATGAAAAAACCTTTAAAAAAAGTTTCAAGTTTTCAAGTCACTTGTATTTTTATTGTTATTTTACATTTATTTTATAAGTATAGTTTTTTAGAAATCCTGTAGGTCCTTTGAGACAAAATCTTTGTTGAAATTGCATGAAATACAGATTATAAAACTGAGCTGTGAGATTAGCTCTGTGTGTGTGTTTGTAACACAGCCCCCGATCAGTTTTCATGCCATGTCCTGCTGCCTATTCAGAACACTTTTTGATGTAATTAATGTCCATGTCTTTCCACATTTTCTAATAAAATAAACATCTCGTATTGCTTAAATGCATCTCTTTGCTTGGACTCCTAATTAAAATCTTTAAATTCTTTTAAATTCCCATTTCTAGGCCTTTCAGGAAGTTGAGCGGATGAAAAAGCTTCTCTTTTTGATCTTGACCTATTTTAATCTGGCTAAAACGGTGATGGGTAAAGTCTAAAGCTCTGTGCAGCACCATCCTGTAGCAACAGAAGAACTTAAACCAGCACAGCACTACTTACTTATAAATAAAGGTTTTTTTAAAACATTTGGGACCACACAATATGTGACCACAACATGCTCATCGCTGTTTGTAGTGTAAGAACTGTGAATTTATTTCTGCGTACCACAACTGTTTTGGAAAGAGTGTTCAAACCTGAGTGGTGGCAATGGTGGAATATGAGGTGCCTTTGGCATCACTTCTTCACAGCCAGGGCAGAGCTAAACTCTGCTCAGTGCTGACATCAGAGACAAGAGAAGCAGCACAGACTTTCAGTGGCTATCAGTCCTGACAGCCTTGCTTCCCTACCCTTAAATTCATGAGAGGAGTTAACGGTGCACTGAGCAAGGTGCATTTAGCTGCAAGTCCAGATACATTTCCATGCAGGAGACTGTCAAGGATATCAGACAAACTGCAGGTGACAGTCAGGAAAAGAGGAAAATCTGCCCATGGACAACCAACCTACTCACCACTAACTCCAAGTCTTTTCCCTGACCTCTAAACACTCGCGCTAACACCAACACAGTGCTGAGCAAGGAACAAACTGTACTGGCTAGAGGGCTGCTGAGTCTTGCTTACACTGTGAAGAGAGAAAAGCAAGGACCTGAACTGTGGCTCTAATACACAGTGCCTCTTCAGAGCATCTTTCATGGGAGCTCATTTAACTGTGCTTGCCTAGGAATAATTCATGGGATAAGTGCATCTGGCTCCCAGATTTGCAATGGATATTGTTCAACAGAAAACAAAAAGGCAAAGAGCACAAAATTTAAGTGTATGCATGCAGTAAGAGTACTTAAGGGCAAAATTAGTCCTGCTTTACTTAACAGAAAGCCAGAAGACATGTATGGATCTACAACACCCATCACCAGCCTGCTAGGAGGATGAAGGTTATACCACCATTATCAAGCAATGTGCAATTATTTAGCCATGGAACTTGCTTCCATTTGATGTCACTCCACCTTATGAGTCAGTCCCAAACCACTAATTTTTGTGTTTCCTTCAACAGTATTTTCCTCTCTGTGCTAGTGGATTGAAGAATTAACAAAATTTCACTACTACAAGAGGTCATTTCACAACCAAACACAGCAGTTCAAAATGGGAAACGGAATGAATGCCAAGGAGATGTTTAATGAGGCGGCGTGCTGGATATACTCTTTGAAGAACACTTGCAGAATTGTTTGCTTGCTTTAGAGGATGAAGGAAACAATAAACCTGACACAGCATTAGCGTTGATTCTCACAGCTGCTTTCAGTTCAAAAGACACCATTCTGCTTGGAATGGAGTCAATCCTCCTGGAAACTATGCTAAGGTGCAGGGGAAATCAGGAGATGATTGGTGACAGCCAGCATGGTTTCACTAAGGGCAAATCATGCCTGATGAATTTTATGGCCTTCTATGACAGGGTTACAGTGCTGATGGGCAAGGGAAGAGCAACTGACATCAACTATCTGGACTTACGCAAAGCTTTTGACACTGTCCCACATGACATCCTTGTCTCTAAATCGCAGACACATGGATTTGATGAATGGACCACTTGGTGGATAAGGAGTTGGCTCGATGGTCACACTCAAAGAGTTGCAGTCAATGGCTCGATGTCCAAGTGGAGAACAGTGACGAGTGGTGTCCTCAGGGATCGGGGTTGGGACTGGTGCCCTTTAACGTCTTTGTTGGTGACATGGTCAGTGGGATCAAGGCCCCTCAGCAGGGTTCCCAATGACACCAAGCTGTGTGGTGCGATCGACACGCTGGAGGGAAGGGATGGGCCATCCAGAGGGACCTGGACAGGCTGGAGAGGTGGGACATGCAAACCTCATGGATTCAACAAGGCCAAGTGCAAGGTCCTGCCCATGGGTCGGGGCAATCCCAAACACAAATCCACGCTGGGTGATGAGTGGATGGAGAGCAGCCCCAAGGAGAAGGACTTGGGCGTATTAGCTGACGAGAAGCTCAACATGACCTGGCAATGCACTTTCAGCCCAGAAAGACAACCTTATTCTGGGCAGCATCCAGAGCAGTATGTCCAGCAGGTTGAGGGAGGGGATTCTCCCCCTCTGCTCTGCTCTCATGAGACCCCCCTGCAGGGCTGGGTCCAGCTCTGGGGCACCAACAGCAGAAGGACACGGACCTGCTGGAGCGGGGCCAGAGGAGGCCACGGAGATGCTGGGGGGGCTGGAGCACCCCTGTGAGGACAGGCTGGGAGAGTTGGGGGGTTCAGCTGGAGAAGAGAAGGATACGGGGAGACCTTAGAGCAGCCTCCCAGGGCTGAAAGGGGCTGCAGGAAAGGGGGGAGGGACTCTTGATCAGGGGTGTGGAGGTAGCATGAGAGGCAACAATCTTAAACTGAAAGAGGGGAGATTTAAATTAGATGTAAGGAGAAAATTCTTTACTGTGAGGGTGATGAGACACTGGCACAGATTGCCCAGAGAAGCTGTGGCTGCCCCCTCCCTGGAAGGGTTCAAGGCCAGGTTGGAGGGGGCTTTGGGCAACCTGGGCTGGTGGAAGGTGGCCTTTTCTGGTTGGAATTAGATGATCTTTAAGGTCCCTTTCAACCCAAACCATTCTGTGATTCTATGAATTACAAACAAATATGATACTGAATTACCTGATATTATGGAAATATTCCTGTGCATTTTGCATATCAAAATGCTCAGAAAAAGAAAAAATGCTTCCTTCAGCCTAAAGATTATGAAGGTACAAATTGAATCTGCTTATTCATCTTCACAGAACCACAGAATTGTCTAGGTTGGAAAAGACCTTGAAGATCATCCAGTCCAACCATTAACCCGACAGTTCCCAACTCCACCAGATCCCTCAGCACTAAGTTGATCCGACTCTTAAACCCCTCCAGGGATGGGGACTCCACCACCTCCCTGGGCAGCCCATTCCAATGCCCAACAACCCCTCCCGGAAAGAAATGCTTCCTGATACCCAGTCTAAACCTTCCCTGGCACAACTTGAGGCCATTCCCTCTTGTCCTATCTCTTGTTCCTTGGTTAAAGA